GGCGAGGAATGTGCAGCAGGTGGGGCTTGTGTGGGGTGGGAGGTGGTTAGTGCTTCAGAGAAGGAGGCTGAGACCTACAGGGGACAGCAGGGGCTCCCGCTGTGGGTTCCGGCCCGGGCACTGGCCGCAGGAAGAATGGGGGGCTCATGAGCAGGGAGGCGGTGCTTCACCCACGAAGTAGGCCCGAGGAGGGCTGAACATTATCTGATCCTTCATGGGTTGGGGGCAGTGGTCCATGTCCTGCCACAGTTCTGGCCACTGCCCTAGTGGGTGATCTTGCACCCTTGTTCATGTGTGCCCTTGAGTGGTACCAATGGCATCCTGATATCAGGGTAGGCTGCTGTCCAGGTGCTCAGCTGAGGCCTGACGGGTGCTCAGATCACAGGGGAGGCCCTGCACCATAACTTGGGGTCTCTCACACTCCCAGACGGAGCCTGGAGCAGCCAGAGGAGGGCCCTCGAGGCACGTGCAGACTTGGGGCCCTGTAGGTCCTACCACCTGCTGCTTCATATTTTGTTTCTATCTCTAGCCGTTTACTCCTGTGAGCTGGGAGCAGCTCCCTCCCTCACTCCATCAGGTCTCTGCTAACGGTGTGGGCCTGCAAGCGGGTGATGGAGGGGCCCAGGGCCACAGGCTGTGCTGCGTGGAGCCCCGGGCCAGCTTCCTAAGGAGGAACTCTGAAGGCTAGGTGTGCCCGGATGCAACAGTGGGCGGAAATGGTCCAGGGGGCTTGAGAACCCAGGGGGCTTGAGAACCCCTGGACCATGCTGTGTCTGCTGGTGACCCATCTCAGGGAAGCTGGGCTCAGGCCCAGCAGGCACTGACATTTCTTGGCGAGAGCAAGAGTCCTACCCAGTCACCTCACCCAGAACAGATAGGCCACTGCCCTTTGGGACTTCTCACTCATTCCTAGAAATACTCGTGGCTGGAGACCACTGTCTGGTGAAAACCCTGTCCCCCTACCCCCACCCCATCACCACAATGAAATCAGATGAAGGAAGCCATCAGGTGATGAGTCAGTTTATTGGGGTGCCCGAGGAAGTGCTGACAGACTGAGAGTCAAGTGACTGGACAGAGAAATTGGGAGGGAAGGACAGGTGACCCAGAAGCAGGTGGAGGAGCCTCCTGGGAGGCAAGAGCCCGGGGGAGCAGTGAGGTCCAGGGTTCCTGAGAGCAGAGGTCAGGTGAGGACAGTGGAGACCTGAGGGACCCTGCCCTGGGTAGGGGCAACCATCTGATCCAGGTCAGGGCCAGACTGAGGGGTGACTGCGAGAACCAGTCACAGGGTGAGGCCTGAGCCCAGCTGGCCCTGGGGGATGTGCTTGGTCAGCAGCAGGACTTCTGGGCTGTGACAGGGATGCAGCAGGCCGGGCGGGAGCACGCGGGGCGACAGAGCAGGGACACGCAGGAGGCCGGGCGGCAGCAGCTGGGCTGGCAGGAGGAGGGGGCACAGCAGGAGGAGGCGGGCACGCAGCAGGCGGGCCTGCACACGGGGCTGCAGATGAGGGACACGCAGGAGGAGGGTCTGCAGCAGGGTGAGGGGCAGGGGGTGGGCTGGCAGCACGAGGGGGCTGCGCAGGGGGTGGCCCCAGGGCAGACAGGCACACAGCACACAGGCTTGCAGTAGACAGGTGTGCAACAGANTGCAGGGGGTGGGCTGGCAGCACGAGGTGGCCCCAGAGCAGATGGGCACACAGCACACAGGCTTGCTGCAGACAGGGGTGCAACAGACAGGTGTGCAGCAGGAGGGTGTGCAGCAGGAGGGTGTGCAGCAGGCAGGTGTGCAGCACACAGATGTACAACAGACAGGCCCGCAGCAGATGGGCACACAGCAGGCCTGCTGGCAGGGGGAGGAGGTGCAGCAGGAGAGGGTACAGGAGCTGGTACAGGCTGGTTGGCAGGCGCTGGGTTCACAGGCCGCCTGGCAGCAGGGGCTGGACACACAGGTCACTGGGGCACAGGTGAGGGTCAGGCAGGAGGTGGGGGCACAGCAGGAGGGCTGGCAGCAGCTGGGGGCACAGCAGGTGGGGACACAGCAGCTGGGGGCACAGCAGGTAGGCTGGCAGCAGCTGGGGGCCCAGCAGGTGGGCTGGCAGCAGCTGGGGGCACAGCAGGTGGGGACACAGCAGCTGGGGGCGCAGCAGGTGGGCTGGCAGCAGCTGGGGGCACAGCAGGTGGGGACACAGCAGCTCTCTGGACAGTCGTCCACCTGCCAGGAGGAGTCTGTGCGGGAGTCGCAGGACCCGGGCAGGCAGGCGCGGCTGCCATAGCTCAGGTCGCTGGAGCAGACGGACAGGGTGGACGCGGCCATGGTGGGCAGTGGGGTGCAGGGGAGCTGGGAGGAGGTGTGAGTGTGTGAGTGTGAGTGTGCGGTGCCCAGGGCTGTTGGCTTTTATACCCTCCTGGCTCTGTGCCCCGCGCCCTGCGGCACCATTTCCGCCTCCCAGGGGCATCAAGGATGTTTGCCCGGGATGTTGTCCAGCTCGTAAATCTCCCAGATCATCCTGCTCAGGAGCCCATCCTGTGGTGAACCCAGGGGACTAGGAGAGGGTGGCGGGTCCCAGCCTGGTCCTCAGGCCAGGGGCGGGGTGGATCGGGTCCTGCCGCAGGCCACCCTGGGTGTGCTGGGTCACTGTCCCGTCAGCTGCAGGGCGGCCGTCCCGCCTGGCTCACTGCAGGAGCCGGCACTAGGCAGCGTTTCCCTGTGGTTCAAACACCCCGTCCCGTGGGGACGCAGGACTGTCGCCAACTTGTGTAGGAGGAACCTAGAAGCCAGGGGCATTTGGTGACTTCCCAGGGCCACATGGGCGGGACAGGACCTGGACCTCTTCACCAGAGCTCAGGAGGATTTCTTATCACCACAGAGCCTCTCCCAGGCCAGCTGTCCATGTGTCCCCTTCCCACGTGTCCTTGAGCTTGGGAGGCCACAAGACTGTACTCTGGGGAAATCGTGTGGCTCCCTTCTCCAGAGGAAAGCGACAGCTTCCTGGGAGCCTGCTTCCCACGCGTGACCCACAGGGAGCGCGTGGGCTGCCCGCGGAGGGGCCGCAGCCCTGTCCCGCTAGGCTCCTCCCCCAAGGCCCGCGTCGCAGTCCTGCCACGCACCCGTCCCCTCTGCCGTGTTCTTTGTGCCTAAAGCATGTCACGGGTCCTGACCGCACGTGGGGCCACAGACGCCAGATACCACTGTTTTACTCCAAACCTAAAGGTTATTTTCGTCTCCTTTCCCTTCAGTTATTGAGAGAGGAGTAGTAATGTCCCCCACTATGATTTGGTCTTTCTCTGTTCCTACTTTCAGTCCTATCACATTTTTATTTCTATGTTCTAGGCTATGTTACGAGGTGCATGCACACCTGGAGTTGTTAGAGCCTCCTGGTGGGCTGACCCTTTTCGTGACGAAAAGTCTTTATCTCAAACAATGCTTCTTGTTTTCAAACCCCCTTTCCCTGGTATGAGGAGGCCACCCGGGTCGCCAGAGCCAGTGTTCGGTGCTGTCCTCCCGCCCATGGTTCACTCCCTCGCTGCCGTAAGCCGCACACACACCTCCTACATCTGCCCTCTGGCTATATGTTTCCTATTTGCCCCCAAATGTTCTTTTTTATTATTTCCTGACTATTTGGGGTTAATTAAGCATTTTTATTATTCAATTCCCCTTTTTTTAAATCCTCACTTGAGGATATGTTTTTATTGAGTTTAGAGATGAGAGGAAGGGAGGGGGAGAGAGAGAGAGAGAGAGAGGGACAGAGACAGAGACAGACAGAGACAGAGGGACACCCATGTGGGAGAGAAACATGGATCTGCTGCCTCCTGCACATGCCCTGACCAGGGATCCAACCCGCAACCCAGGTATGTGCCCTGACTGGGAATCGAACTCCCAACTGAGCCACACTGGCCAGGCCATTTCCCGCTTCTACTCTTGACTAGTTACCCGCTGAGTTTACTCCCCTTTCAGCGGCGGCCTGGAGATGACAGTGTGCACTCTGGCCGTTCAAGTACACGTTGGTGCTCTCCCTCCTTCCCAGGCAATGCTCAGACCTCAGAGCCGTTTAACTCCGTCTACCCTTCTCACATTTACTGTTAACACCGCTGTGCATTTTATTTTTTTAACATTCAAGAAAATAAACAGGAAACACAGCAATCCTCGTTTTCTGGGCAGAAACCTTGTTGCGGCGACTGTGTTTGCTGCAGGGAGGTGGGCAGGGACCTCTGGGTCACGCACACAGCTTTCAGTGTCGGATAAATGCAGGCGACTTGGTAAGGCTGTGGTCGGGTGTGGGGTCTGTGCCTCACTGAGCAGTCGGGGGGGACGGGGTGTGCACTGTCCACCCAGGGACCTGGAGGAGCCGCTGCCAGGCCGTCCACCTTTACCTGCTTGCCACCTGCGCCAGGGCAGTCCTTGCACTGGAGGGTGAGCTGGGGAGCCACAGTTAGAAATGTTCCAGCCTTATGCCTCTTTGGCCCCGGGCTTCTCCAGCAGGCACTTGGGAAGCCAGGGTACCCAATGAACAGAGTCCCCAGGGGTTCACAGGATGTGTCCCAGGTGTCAAAAAAGGGCAGTTGGATTTGGAGAGATGGTTCTCTCGTGAGGCCACCTCACACCCTAAACATGCTTATTTGAGACACACATGCCTTTCTGCCTCTACATTATGAACCACAGGCAGCTTAGGACACATNCCACCTCACACCCTAAACATGCTTATTTGAGACACACATGCCTTTCTGCCTCTACATTATGAACCACAGGCAGCTCAGGACACATCAAGAGCAGAACATGCTAGGAGCCTCGTCGCTGAGCAACATCTCACAGAACAAAAACACAAATCCAGCACTAATGAGAGTTCCGAGTCCCAAACACAAACAAGGAAGGTGTGTGAGCATCCTGTGGGGACACAAGCCAGAGAGAGTATAAAAGCCAACAGCCCAGGAACCTCATGCACTCACACTCACACACTCACTCACACACTCACTCCTCCCAGCTCCCCTGCACCCCACCGCCCGCCATGGCCGCGTCCACCCTGTCCGTCTGCTCCAGCGACCTGAGCTATGGCAGCCGCGCCTGCCTGCCCGGGTCCTGCGACTCCCGCACAGACTCCTCCTGGCAGGTGGACGACTGTCCAGAGAGCTGCTGTGTCCCCACCTGCTGTGCCCCCAGCTGCTGTGTCCCCACCTGCTGTGTCCCCAGCTGCTGCCAGCCCTCCTGCTGTGCCCCCACCTCCTGCCTGACCCTCACCTGTGCCCCAGTGACCTGTGTGTCCAGCCCCTGCTGCCAGGCGGCCTGTGAACCCAGCGCCTGCCAACCAGCCTGTACCAGCTCCTGTACCCTCTCCTGCTGCACCTCCTCCCCCTGCCAGCAGGCCTGCTGTGTGCCCATCTGCTGCGGGCCTGTCTGTTGTACATCTGTGTGCTGCACACCTGCCTGCTGCACACCCTCCTGCTGCACACCCTCCTGCTGCACACCTGTCTGTTGCACCCCTGTCTGCAGCAAGCCTGTGTGCTGTGTGCCCATCTGCTCTGGGGCCACCTCGTGCTGCCAGCCCACCCCCTGCATCCCATCCTGCTGCGGACCCTCCTCCTGCGTGTCCCTCATCTGCCGCCCCGTGTGCAAGCCCGCCTGCTGCGTGCCCGCCTCCTCCTGCTGTGCCCCCTCCTCCTGCCAGCCCAGCTGCTGCCGCCCAGCCTGCTGCATCCCTGCCTCGGCCCAGAAGTCCTGCTGCTGAGCGATCTCCTTAAGGGGACCCAAACACTCAAGAGCTCACTGCCATCTGCACCCCCAGGATTCTTCACTAAGAGCCAAGACAGCTGCCAAGTGACCTTCATGGGTTCCTGCACTGGGCATTTGTGGTCACCTGGCCACCATTGCATTTCTCCCTCTGGGAACAACTCACTCCTTTCTCCAAGTACTGACTTCCCCCATGTCAATGTGCCCTGCCACCCACCCAGGTTGGCAGTGACCCCAGCGAGGCCAGCTGGACTCCCCCAGGCCTCGGAGCCGTGAGTGGAGTGAAAAGAGAAAAGCTGGTTTCTCCTCGCCACCCCGCCCGTGTGGCCCAGGCCTCCACTCACCCTACCCTGGTTTCTTCATCTCCTCCCCAGCCCTGCCCCCATCTGTACACTGTCCATCCCTTCCAATAAATTCTTTTCCTGATGCGTTTAACCAGCATTCATTTCTGTTGTTGACAGCAAAGACCCCTACCTGACACCAACATCCCCCAGGTAAGGTGGTTCCAGGTCATACCCCCGGGCCACCATGTTCCTGCCCCTCAGTGGTATCCTGGAAGCCCCTGACTCTTGCCACATCTATGTGCAAGAGATGGACACACTTTCTGGACACAAAGTCTGAATAATCTGACAGTGGCGCCTGCCCCTCAGGGGTGACTCAGACTGTCTTCAGTGTCCCCGCTCCAGAAGGGCCTGTTCAGAGAGGAGTTAGCACAGCAGGCCTGGGGTTCCTAGCGTGTGTGATGAGGATGCCTCACTGGCCTAAACCATCTGTGCAGACATGATGGCTGTGCTGACACCTGCTGTCCCTCTGGGAGCCTAGACTTTTGGAAAGTGCCGGGCAGAGGTGCCATATGACCAGCCTCAATACAAACCGTGGGTACTGAGTCTCTGATGAGCTCCCTGGCAGACATCTCACAGGTGCTGTCACACTGTGTGCTGAGCAGTTAAGTGCCTCCTGCACAATCCACCAGGATGGGCTCTGGAAGCTACACCTGATGTCCCCAACTCCCCCCCAACGAGCCCTTTTCCTGTGCTGATTTAGCTCTGTGTACCTAATCCTAGGAGTTCTAGAGAGTCAGCAGAACAGGGAGGTGCTGAGGACCCAACACCCAACATCAAAATGAAAAAACGTCCAAGTCTGATAGTAACCAACAGGGCCTAGAGTGTAGACAGGTACATTTTACGGTATGTAAATCACACCTAAATAACATTCACTTTTTAAAAGAATACGATCAAGAGATACACAAGCAAACACAACCCCAGTCCTGGACAGAGATTTGATCGCACACACCCCCAGTGGTGGGCTGAGGCCGACTTGCCCAGCTCCTGAGAACTGACCGTGGACCTCTTTTCCCAGCTCGGTGTTCAGTAACATCACATCAGTAGCTATTATGGAACTTGGCAAACACCATGAATCAGGGCTTTCCTGCTTTTGTTTCACAGGTAGCCAGTTAGTAAACATACCAGCATACCACTTCACATATACAACATATAACTCATATTCAGAATATATAATTTTCTACAAATCAAGAAAAAATACAAATAACCCTATTTAACTAAAACAAGCAAATGGCTTGAACAAGCACCTACAAGAAAAGATATTCAAATGTTCAGGGAGCGTACACCAGGGAATACAAATTAATGAAACAATACTGTACCCCTACCCACTTTACAAAATGAGTAAGATCTTAAAAGACTGACAATGCCTCGTTTTATACAAGATATACATTGACTGGAATTCATAAAATTGACTAATGGAACTGTAAATTTCTTTAGAAACTTGTTGGGTAGTGTTAAACTGAACACATGCATGTCATATGACCCAGGAATTTCACTCATGACTATACCCTGAAATTGCTAAATATATTCATCAAAAACAAAATGTACAAGAATTTTCGTAGCAGCATTATTCATATTAGCCAAAATATTGAATCAAAATCTCCATCATTGACAAAGAGAATAGATAAGTAACGTGTAGAGGGTTTGATGCAATAATTTACCTCACAGCAAATAAATAAATAAATAAAAATTAACTTCTGATTCATGCAGCAACATGTTTTTTTTTTTATCACAGGCCTTTTGTTGAGCAAAATGGGCCATAAATAAAAGAGCAGACAGAACAAGCAGAACTAACCAAGCGGGGGGGAGAAGGTGGAATAGTGACTTCTCCTTCAGGGAGGAGGTGGGTTAACTGAGAAACAGCACAAGGAACATTTAGATTTCTGGAAATGTTACACATCTTCAACAAATATTCTAAGAAAAAACTTTTCCAATCCAGAAGACTATACTGAGCTAAACTATCCATCAGCTATTAAGGCAGAATGAAGGCATTTTTAACTATGCTGTGCTAAAAAATGTATCTCCAATACACCCATTTTCAGAAAGCTTCTGGAGGCTGTACTCCACCAAAATAAGGGCAATAACCCAGGGAGGAAAACACACCACATTCAGGAAATCAGAGACTCGTGACTGGAGAGAGATGGGGGAACGTCAGAGACAACAGTGAACAGAGATGCCTAGATGACACCTGTGCACCAGCAGGGGGGACAGCCCACAGATGCAGAGGGCTCTAGGAGAGAGACTTCCAAAAAGTAAATGAAGCTGACTGATCACCTGATATGTTTGAACCTCTTGTGTGGAGTGTGGGGACGATTCACTGATAAGTACGCCAGAAAAATAGGCAAATAAACAAAAGCAGCAATTATGAACCCTAAGAAAGGAAAAACAAGCAAAAACAAAATGTGCATCAGTGTGGAAGTTAAACCTGGTTCCACTACACAGACTTGGCTGTGAACGATACTCAGCTAAAATAATACAGATTTGAACACTGATTTAACCAACATTAGGGTATCCCTGCCTTCTGTGGCTGGGAAGAGGGGAGTTTTTCATGGGGCTGGTAGTAAACAAGAGAAAGTGCTTCCCTCCACAGCAGAAAATTAGCTTGTATCTAAAACTGAAAACTCCAGAAATAACAGAATATGAACAGTATTTTGTAATTTTTAGACAGAAGGGGAAGTAAGAACAGGGTCTGGGGTGCACACTGGGGGAGACAAACACAGAGAAAAGCCATGGACACTCTACTGGAGTTTGCAGATGGGCATCCTGAACTCATGCACATAGTCACAGACACTGAGAGAGACACCCTGTGCCCCAGCACCATGCCAGCTGCTGGATGCAGAGGGCAGAGACCGGGATGTAGCCTCTGGAGTGCCACCTGCTGGGCGGGGCTGAGGGAGAGGAGGTGGAAAAGGGCAGATCCTGGCAGCAATGGTGTAGAAAGCCCAGAACGTGTGAGAGGGAGTCCAAACCACAGAGTGGGAGGCACAGATGAATATGTGTATACAGATGTGTACAGATGCAGGCCCACAAATGATTGAGCAAGACTGAGAACAGACTCCTAGAACCAGATCTGTAGATCAAAGCATGTAGACATTGGTGATGTGAAAATCATCACACTGCCCACAAGAGGTCCTGGTTTTAATAAAAGCACAGTTTGCCCTGGCCAGGTGGCTTGGTTGGTTGGAGTGTCCCATCATATACCAAAAGGTTATGGGTTCAATCCCCAGTTGGGGCACGTACAGGAGGCAACTGATCGATGTTTTGTGTGTTTTTTCTCTCTCTCTCTCTTCCCCTCTTTTCACCCTATCTAAAATCAATGGAAAAAATATCCTCAAGTGAGGATTAACAAAAAATAAAAATAAATAAACAAACAAAACACACAAACAAGTTAAGGCACCTGAGGAAAGAATATCAGCTGTGGCAAACAGAAGACACCCCCAAAAGCCTAGAATGACAAGCTGGGGAATGAGATGCTTTGAAGAATTAGACTTTCAAAGCTTCTACCAGTTCCTGGGAGTCCAGAAGACCCACAGGTACCTACTAGGGGCATATGCTCAGAAAAGACCTGAGAAGGCCTGAAGTCCTCACCTCTGGCTGCACTTCAAGCTCTGAACAAGCAGGAAGTGAAGGTGAAGGCAGAGTTGTAAACTGCCTGGCTGAGGGTGGAAGTCATGTTCCAACACACAAACAGAGCCCAGCTACAAAGAAGGGGGAAAACATTTTTTGGGTCCAGGTGTTTAAGGAACTCTCTGTCAAATCACTCTCTGACTACTAACAGAGACCACACATGACAAAGAGTATAGTCATTGCAAAAATAGTTTAAAAGAGTTGGTAAACAAACAACAACAACAAAAAGCCACAACAACCAGCAACAACAAACTAGGGAGGGAGGAGAATCCAATGTCAATTATCACATTATAATATTCAAAATGCCCACTTTTTAAAAAAAAATTATGAGGCATGCAAAGTCCAGGAATTGAACTTACTAGACAAAGCCTTCAAGTCAACTCTATTCATACTCTAAGAGTTCATGGAAACCTTGGACAAAGAGCTAAGAGAAATCAAGAGAATTATGCCTCACCAAATACAGCGTATCAATAGCGAGAGAGAAATATAAAAAGGAACCAAATGGAAATTCAGAGTGAAAAGTACAATAAATGAAATGAAAACTTCACTATAGGGTCTCGATAGCACATTTGAGCAGACAGATGAAAGAATTAGTGAAAGTGAAGATAGGTCAACTGAAATACTCCAGTCTGAGGAGCAGACAGAATAAACAGAAGGACGATAATTGAACAGAAATTAAGGGACCTGTGGGACACCATCAAGCAAAAAAACATATACTAAACTAGAGTCCCAGAAAGAGGAGAGAGAGAGAAAGAAGCAGAAAAAATATTTTAAGAAATAGTGGTCAAGCCCTGGCTGGGTGGCTCAGTTGGTTGGAGTGTCATTCCATGTACCTAAAGGTTGTAGGTTCGACTCCCAGTCAGGGCAAATACCCAGGTTGCAGGTTTGATTCCTCAGTCGGGGCATGTACAAGAGGCAACTGATTGATGTTTCTCTCTCCGTCTCTTTCTCTCTCTCTCTCTCTCTCTCTCTTTCTCCCTTCTTCTCTCTCTTAAAATCAATAATACATATCCTTGGGTGAGGATTTTTTAAAAAGAAGACATAATGGTTCAAAACTTCCCAAATTTGACGAAGCATATGAGTCTACATATCCAAGAAGCTGAATGAACTCCAACTAGAATAAACTCGAGATCCACACTGAGATGCATTATAAACAAATTATTGGAAGACAAAGACAAAGAAAGAACCTTAAAAGCAACGAGAGAAGAATAACAGCTAATTTCCCAACAAAAACTGCGAGACCAGAAGGCAGTAGGATGACATATAAAAAGTGCATTAAAAATTGTCAATAAAGAGGTGTATATCCAGCAAAAGTGTCCTTAAAAATGAAGGAGAAATTAATGCATATCCAGATAAATAAATGTTGAGTTGATTACTAGTAGAGCTGATCTACAAGAAATAATAATTCAGGCTGAATAATAGGGCATTGATTAATAACTTGGAGCCATATGAAGAAATAAGATCACCAAAGAGGTGTCACTTTCAGCAGTGTGTGTTTTAAGGATTTTTCCATTAAGTCTAGATCAAATTTTTTGGCGAATACTTGTTCACAGTACTCTCGTACACTCCTTTTTATTTATGTAAAGGCAGTGATAATACCCCATTTTTACTTTTGACTTTAGTAATTTGAATCTCCTTTCTTTTTTTTCTTAGCCAGTCTAGTTAAAGATTTGTCAATTTGGGGGTTTTGGGGGGGGGGTTTCCAAGAAAAGCTTTTGGTTTCATTGATTCTCACTATTGTTTCTAGTTTCTGTTTCATAAATCTGTGTCCTAATCTTTATTTCCTTCCTTCTGCTGCTTTGGATTTAGTTTGCTCTTCTTTTACTAGTTTGTTAAGGTGTAAAGTTAGGTTATTGATTTGAAATCTTTCTTCTTTTAATTGTGTCAATAGTTATAAACTTCCCTCTGAGTATCATTTTGCTGTATCCCTTAAGTATTGGTTTATCATGTTTTCATCTCAAACTACTTTCTAGCTTCTCTTTTGATTTCTTTTTTGACCTATTTGTTGTTTGAGTCTGTGTTGTTTGATTTCCACATGTTTGTGAATTTTTCAGTTTTCCTTCTGTAATTGATTCTATTTTCATTCCATGTGGTCAGATAAGATACTTTGTGTGATTTCAATATTTTTATTTTTTACTTATTTATTTATTTATTTATTTATTTTTAAATATATCTTTATTGATTTCAGAGAGAGGAAAGGAGAGGGAAAGAGAGAGACAGAAACATCAATGATGAGAGTCATTGATTGGCTGCAGCCCGCAACCCGGGCCTGTGCCCTGACCGGGAATCGAACCCTGATCGCCTGGATTCTAGGTCGACGCTTAACCACTGAGCCATGCCCAGCTGGGCTCAATATTTTTAAACGTATTGAGATTTGTTTTGTGGCCCAACATATGGTCTAATCTGGAGAATATTCCATGTGCACTTGAGAAAAATGTGTATTCTGCTATTGTTGAGTTGAGCAATTTATACATGTCTGTTGGGTCTAGTTGCTTTATAGTGTTCTTCAAGTCCTCTGTTTCATTATTGATCTTTAATCTAGTCGTTCTACCATCTCATTTTTTTTAATTAGTGAAAAAGACTTATTGAAGTCTTCCAGTATTACTTTAGAACTGAAATTGTCTATTTCTTTCTTCAGTTCTGTCAGTTTTTCCTTTATGTATTTTGGAGGTCTGTTGCTGGGTACATATGTGTTTATAATGGTCACATATTCTTACTGTATTGACCTTTTATCAACAGTTGAAGTCTTTATCTGCCTCTTACAATAATTTTTGACTCAAAGTTTATTTTGCTGATTTTCTTATAGCTACCAGCTTTCTTTTGGTTACTATTTGCATTAAAATATCCTTTTCCATTCTTTCACTTTCAATATATTTGTATCTTTGGATCTAACGTGAGTGAACTGACTCAAGAACAGACAAGCTGAAGAGACATAAAACAATGAGACTGAATCAGTAATCAAAAACCTCCCCTAAAGGAAAAGTCCACAGCCAGATGGCTTCAGTGTTGAATTCTAGGAAACATTCACAGACGACTTGACACCCATCCTTCTCAAACCCTTCCAAAGAGCACAGCATGAGGGAACACCTTCTAACTCGTTCTACGAGGTAGGTCATCATTACCCTGGTATCAAAGCCAGAAAAGACAACAACAACAAAACTACAATCCAATATTCTTTATAGCAAAGTTTAAAAATCTTCAACAAAATACAATCAAACCATGGCCCCAGATGTCACCAGGAGCCTGGCACATGACTCCCCAGGTGGAAACAGAGAAACTGCGGCTTCCTTCCAGGCGTCCCTGCAGGGGTCAGAGTCAGGCCAGGGACAGCTAGCCTTGCCCAGGACAGTCAAAAGTTTATGAGCTGAGCAAAGACATCTCATGACACCAGGACTGACCATAATGAAGGTGCTCACAGTGCAAACACCAACAAGGAAGGGAAAGCATGGGCCTCCTGTGGGACAACACACACACCCAGGGAGGGGTATAAAAGCTGGACAGTTCCAGCACCTCACACACTCACTCACCTTCACACACTCACACCTCCTCCCAGCGCACCTCCAGCCCCACTGCCCACCATGGCCGCGTCCACCCTGTCCGTCTGCTCCAACGACCTGAGCTATGGCAGCCACACCTGCCTCCCTGGGACCTGTGACTCTTGCACCAGNATTATTGATCTTTAATCTAGTCGTTCTACCATCTCATTTTTTTTAATTAGTGAAAAAGACTTATTGAAGTCTTCCAGTATTACTTTAGAACTGAAATTGTCTATTTCTTTCTTCAGTTCTGTCAGTTTTTCCTTTATGTATTTTGGAGGTCTGTTGCTGGGTACATATGTGTTTATAATGGTCACATATTCTTACTGTATTGACCTTTTATCAACAGTTGAAGTCTTTATCTGCCTCTTACAATAATTTTTGACTCAAAGTTTATTTTGCTGATTTTCTTATAGCTACCAGCTTTCTTTTGGTTACTATTTGCATTAAAATATCCTTTTCCATTCTTTCACTTTCAATATATTTGTATCTTTGGATCTAACGTGAGTGAACTGACTCAAGAACAGACAAGCTGAAGAGACATAAAACAATGAGACTGAATCAGTAATCAAAAACCTCCCCTAAAGGAAAAGTCCACAGCCAGATGGCTTCAGTGTTGAATTCTAGGAAACATTCACAGACGACTTGACACCCATCCTTCTCAAACCCTTCCAAAGAGCACAGCATGAGGGAACACCTTCTAACTCGTTCTACGAGGTAGGTCATCATTACCCTGGTATCAAAGCCAGAAAAGACAACAACAACAAAACTACAATCCAATATTCTTTATAGCAAAGTTTAAAAATCTTCAACAAAATACAATCAAACCATGGCCCCAGATGTCACCAGGAGCCTGGCACATGACTCCCCAGGTGGAAACAGAGAAACTGCGGCTTCCTTCCAGGCGTCCCTGCAGGGGTCAGAGTCAGGCCAGGGACAGCTAGCCTTGCCCAGGACAGTCAAAAGTTTATGAGCTGAGCAAAGACATCTCATGACACCAGGACTGACCATAATGAAGGTGCTCACAGTGCAAACACCAACAAGGAAGGGAAAGCATGGGCCTCCTGTGGGACAACACACACACCCAGGGAGGGGTATAAAAGCTGGACAGTTCCAGCACCTCACACACTCACTCACCTTCACACACTCACACCTCCTCCCAGCGCACCTCCAGCCCCACTGCCCACCATGGCCGCGTCCACCCTGTCCGTCTGCTCCAACGACCTGAGCTATGGCAGCCACACCTGCCTCCCTGGGACCTGTGACTCTTGCACCAGCTCCTCCTGGCAGGTGGATGACTGTCCAGAGAGCTGCTGTGAGCCCTCCTGCTGTGCCCCAAGCTGTTGCCAGCCCTCCTGCTGTGTCCCCAGCTGCTGCCAGCCCACCTGCTGTGTCCCCAGCTGCTGCCAGCCCACCTGCTGTGTTCCCAGCTGCTGCCAGCCCACCTGCTGTGTCCCCGGCTGCTGCCAGCCCTCCTGCTGCCAACCCTCCTGCTGCATCTCTGCCCCCTGCCAGCAGGCCTGCTGTGTGTCTGTTAGCTGCAAGCCTGTGTGCTGCACTCCTGTCTGCTGCAAGCCTGTCTGCTGCACCTCTGTCTGCTGCAAGCCTGTGTGCTGCAAACCTGTCTGCTGCACCTCTGTCTGCTGCAAGCCTGTCTGCTGCAAGCCTGTCTGCTGCACCTCTGCCTGCTGCAAGCCTGTGTGCTGCACCTCTACCTGCTGCAAGCCTGTCTGCTGCACCTCTGTCTGCTGCAAGCCTGTGTGCTGCACCCCTGCCTGCTGCAAGCCTGTGTGCTGCACCCCTGCCTGCTGCAAGCCTGTCTGCTGCACCTCTGTCTGCTGCAAGCCTGTCTGCTGCACCCCTGCCTGCTGCACCCCTGCCTGCTGCACCCCTGCGTGCTGCGCGCCTGTCTGCTCTGGGGCCGGCCCCTGCTCATCCTCCTCACCCTGCTGCAGACCCTCCTCCTGCGTGTCCCTCATTTGCCGCCCCGTGTGCAGGCCCGCCTGCTGCGTGCCCATCTCCTCCTGCTGTGCCCCCTCCTCCTCCTGCCAGCCCAGCTGCTGCGGACCCTCCTCCTGCATGTCCCTGCTCTGCAGCCCCGCGTGCTCCCGCCCGGCCTGCTGTGTCCCCACCTCGGCCCAGAAGTCCTGCTGCTGACCAGCTCCGTCCTCTGCCTCTCAGCTGCTGTCCTTGCTCCTGAGCCCAGTTCTCCTCTCCCTGGAGCCCCCAGAGCCCCTCTGCTGGTGCCAGGACCTCCCCTCTCGCACTGGTTGTCACCGTGGCTGCCTGGTGCAGTTCTGAACATGCCCCCATCCCTTCTTGTTCTGAACATGCCCCCATCCCCTCACCAATCCCTCACTGGGGGTGCACTTGGGGCCCCAGGAGCCTCCTCTGCAGGACTGGTTGCTTGCTTCCCATGTGACAAAGGCCAATGGTTATAATCAATAAAATGTCTGTGCCGGGAAATCCGTGTCTGTTCTCTGTCACCCTGAGCCCCCTCGGCCACTCCACTCCTGGGCTGTGGTGCTCCATCTGGTAGAAGCCAGGCGGTAAAGACACGTTCTCTAGTCCAAGTTCAGGGCAGCTGAGCCACAAGACCTGAAGGGACACCATCTGCACACTCATTTCCCTTCCCGACCCCAGCGGCCACCTTCCCCACAGGGACAGGCCTCCAAGGCCCGGCCCAGGAGGCACAGGCCCTGAGTGGACTTGGGCTCCTGCCCAGGTCTGTCCCCCTGATGGTCCAGGTGAAGGGTGAGATGGGGACCAGTAGAAACCCTGCTGGTCAGGATCTGTGTGCCAGTGTCCCCTGCAGGGAGGACCACCCCGGCCTGAGTCTGACACGGCTGGAGTCTGTGCTGGACACTCCATGGGTAAGAGGAGTAAGGATCCAGGTGGACCCTTGGGGGCAAGGGTGGGGTGGACTCAGGCCAGGGGAGAGCCTGGAGCAGGGTGGGCCTGAGCAGAAGGAACCCCTCTGCCAAACCCCCGAGAAGGGTATGGACCACCTGGAGTGGGGCCTCCTCCCCTGGCTGGTGGGCATGGGGCAGGGGCTCAGGAGGAGTCCACAGAGACAGGAGGGGCTCAAAGTCCCCGAAGCAGGGCGAGGGGCAGCCAGCTGCAACCTGCTGGGGACGCCGCCTCCTCCCCACCTCTCCCGCCCAATAATCACATGGCAGCCAGGAGCATCATGAAGGAAAAGTGGACACTGGAGACTGTGCAACAGAAAAGTTGGGTTTATCCTGTGGCCAGAGAAATGCCCACGAACATGTGGCTAAAACCACACCAATGCGTTGTCTCACAGCTGTGGTGGCTGGAATCTGACAGTCTCTCTGGGTTGACATCAAGGTGTGGGCAGGCCTGGACCCTTCCGGAGGCTCCGGGGCAGTGTCCGATCCTAGCCCCTTTCAGCTCCTAGAGGCCCCGCCACATTTGACAGTTGCGTGCTCCAAGCCGGCGGCCTGGCGTCTTGCTTCCACCTTCCTGGGCCTCCTTTTCTGTAGTCCAGTCCCCCCTGCCCCCCTCATAAGTCGCTCTAAGGACTTTGGGCCCCCTGGGTGACCCAGGATCATCTCCCATTGCAAAACCCTTCACTGACTCCCATCTTCCAAGTCACTTTGTTTGTAAGGAGCATATTCACAGGTCTGGGATTGTGGGCATCTCTGGGGACCATGTAAGTTGCCCACTGAGCCCTCTCCCGCCGACTGGGAGAAGGAGGGGCTGTGCTTTTCAATGGAGCTTGCCGCCTGGGCTTTAGCTAGAGCAGGAGCAGGAGGCCTGCTTCCCTAGAAGGGATCAGGTCTGAAAGCTAGTGGCTTCCCCTCAGCCCCACCCAGAGCTGGCTGAAAACTGCCCTCTTATGTTCAAGGGAAGGGGGTCCCATGTGGCTGGGCACTAGGAGCACGCCCATCACCCAGAGGTGGCCTTTGAGTGGTCAGGCCCTGCTCTCTCCACAGAAGGAACTTTCCAGAATCCCCGGAAACCTCGCCAGAGGAATCTAGGGAAAGACACTGAAGGAAAGACGTTGCCACCCTCGGGTGAGCATCACACTCTGACATTTACTAGGCCTTGGATGGGGGAGGGTGCAGGGCCTGCACACTGGCACCTGCCGTGTGGGGTGGACCAGGCCCAGTCCCTCGGCCTGGCTGGCTGGGTTCCAGTGGCCTTGCTACAAGGTGGTCCAGTCGGGTCCAGAAGGTCTGAAGTGGACGTCTGGGCTGCCTCATAGGAATTCATGCAACCGGTTGGCAGCATCCAGAGGACTGGCACGAGGGGGCTACCCACACAGTAGCCTGCAGCTCACGGGCATGCAGAAGGCATCCCAGCAGCTCAGGGACATGCAGCTGATCCCCTGGCAGGGGCTGGGCACACAGCTGGCCAGGCTGCAGGAGGCGGCCCAGCTGTGGGCTGCTGGGCAACATAGGGACAAGCAGCTGTAGGAGGTGGCTGAGCTGCACACTGGCCGGGAAAGCAGAGCCACGCAGGGGGGCACAGCAGGAGCTCCTGCAGCCGGGGGATGGGCAACAGGCGGCCACTCAGCCCAGGGGACTGGAGGAGCAGCTGGTATGGCGCGTGGTGGCACAGGGCCCAAGTGGGATCAGGGTGGGGGACGGGGCTGGTCTGCAGGCTCCTTCCCGGAGGCGGCCTTCACACCAGGCCGTGGCATCCTGGCAACGAGGCGCATGGTGCCTTCCTCGTGGCTGCCCAGCTGGGTCTCCCTCCCCTTCCCTTTCTGTGTCTCTTCCTCATTGAAGTGACTCAGTTCAGGAAGCTCCTTCTTGGCTGCAGGTCACTGTGACCCAGCGGCCCTGTGATTTCCAGAACCAGAACCCAGATTGGATAGTGAAAGGCCATCGGTAGGGGACAGGGGACCTCCCTCCCCAGGCCCTCTTTTCCAGGTCCTCCCCAGTTTTAAATACCCTGTCCTCTGTCCACACAAGCACAGTGCCACTCGCTGCACTGGGGGCCCCCCATTTAGATGTGGAAGCTCAAAGATCCAGAAGGTCTTCCCAGCCACCGAGAGCCACGCTGTCAGCCCCGCGTGGGGAGTGCAAGGGCCACGGCACTGCAACAGCAACAATGACGGGTCCAGCTTGGGGCCAGGTGCCGCCCTAAGCGTCTAACATGGACTGTCTCACAAGCTGTCACTCATCAGTCCCGCCACTATTCCAGGATGGGGGACGTGTCCGTGTCCGTGTCCGTGTCCGTGTCCGTGTCCATGTCCGTGTCCGTGTCCTGCCACCGCAGGCGGAGAGGCAGGTGTGTGAGGCGGCTCAGTTTCACTCCAGAGCCGTGGTCTGGGCCATGGTGCCAAATTCCACTGGGGCTTTGGGGTCCTGAGATTCTTCCATATATGAGTTAGAATTTTTAAAATCAAACCTGGGGATTTTTCCCATATTTCTTCGAGACAGCCTTACATCTCAGTGTCATTCTCTTCTTGGGTGCCAACGCCTGCGCGCTGGCCTTTTCGACGTCGTCGCGGAGGCCTCTTCCTCTCCCTTCCCTCCTTTCCCTCCTCGCTGCGGCCATTTCTACTGAGCGTCTTCAAGTTCACCCACCTTCTTCTGGCGGCTCGGGCGGCACGACCTGAATCTGTCCACCGGCGCCCGTGCTCTCGCACCCGACTGCGGGATCCCCACCGCTCCTGGCGCGGCCCATTCCGCAGCAGGGTCCTCACCCCGTGTGCCCCTGCCTGGGACGCCGCCCCGGGCCCTTCACGGCACCCGGTGTGAGGCCAATAAACTGCTTTCTCGAGGCAGCTGTCCCTCTGTGTCACCTTCACATGTTTTTGAAGTTCTTTCCTTGAAGGCGGCACCTTCCTAAGCACAGCAACCGCTCCTCAAAGAGTCTCCCCGGAAAGTTCAGCCGCAGGTGGGGTATCCTCGGTGGGTGGAAGGGTGGGGAGAGGTGCCGTCCCCACATCTGCCACTCAAGACATTGTAGATGGGAAAGGGCAAGGGAGAAACTTCCCTCTGGCTGAGGGGCGGACGGAACACAGGCCTGGACCCCAGTCCCATGGGTACCCTAAAGGATTGCTAAACAGGGAGGGCGGGAAACTCTCTCTCACANCCTAAAGGATTGCTAAACAGGGAGGGCGGGAAACTCTCTCACACACACACACACACACACACAGAGCAGGGTCTGGGTCCCAGGGAGGGGCCCCCGGAAGTCTGAGAAGTTTTATGCAGATGGTGTTGGAGAGACTCCTCGCAGGGCCTGGGGCGGGGCCGGTTGACTTCCACCCTTCTTGTGGTCATCTGCTGGCTCAGGTAACACCTGGTTTGCCCTTTCCCAGGGGCTGCAGGGCTTTGGGCCCCAATTATTCCTGTTGGACACTCCTGTTGTCGGTCAGACCCCCGGGGGCACATCCCACTGGCGTCCTCCCCTCCTTCCTGAGACCGGGATCCCACACCAGTGGGCAGGGTGCCCAAACATCCTTGCAGGAAGAGGCCCAAAATGGGGAGCTGACACTTGCAGCCGATAACCTGAGCCCAGATCTGTTGGACAATATCCCTCACTCCCAGAGTGTGCACGTCAGTACACACAGGGGCACCCAGGGAGTGGTGGATAGGTGCACCGAGACAATGACCCCAAGGTCATGTTCACCTAGTGCCAACAGGTCCCAGGGCCCAGCCCAGCACGAGCACACAGCCAACCTTGGTTACTGTCCGCTCCAGCTCAGAGACTGCCTTCTGCCTGCGGGGTTTCTTTCTTCGACTGGCTTCACAGGGGCCCCCAAAACAGAAACAGGGACGTACATCAGCAATAACAGCAAACAGTGGTCATGCTGCCAAGACATGTTGCCAAGGCCCGGGTAATAAAGGCCACCCTAGGGGAGGAGCCTCCAGACCAGCCCCACCCGCCCCAGCCCCAC